ATCTTGAAATATTTAAAAAACGTATTTTTTTTTTTCCTGGGGGACATATTCAGCTCACGCAGAGCCAACCCAATCCTCCCCAGCCATTAGGGAGAGGCAAAACTGCATTTGGCAGCAACACCAGTGATCTGGGGGAGAAAAAGGAACAGCGGGGGAAAAAAAGCAGGTAGGATTTCAGAGGAGGATGTAGGGACTGAGTCTAAAACTTACTTATTCACTAACGCTGTATGTTCTTGAAGACAGGCATTTCCTTATAATAACCAAATGTTTGATTTCTCTTGGACCATAATATTTGCACATCATTTATTTATTTATTTATTTATTTAGATGGGCGGCAACTCTCACCGAAACGGAGACAGTCTTCCAAACGGAAAGCCTTAAAAGATTGCCCAAAGGATGGACTTCTACATCCAGCTTTCCGTTTGGAAGACTGTTCCCATTCCAGTGACACTGAGGCAGCCTGTGCCACATCTTGTCACTGTCAGTCTGAAACGTTGCCTGCCAAAGCCTCGCTTCTTCCCTTCCTATCTCCAAGCTGGAATCACCGCGGTACGAGGAGCCTTGAGGATCAGATGAGGGTGGCGGGAGGATATTTTTGTTCTTAAGCCTGGTGGTAGCCGCGTCCTTGGGCTAAGGATGCCAAACTTGACTCACCAAAATTACAGTTCCCGGTTTTGTTGTGAATCAAGCCCATGGGGATGTTCCAGCCTGCAGTTCTCCCAACGGCGGTGTGGCACGATTTCTTGCCCTTCAGGTTGTTCCACGTAATTCCCGGGTTGGATTTCTTCACAACGGCCACCGCGAAGTAAGAAGCTTTCAGGGGGAAGACGGGAGAGAATGAAACGGGAGGTTGGCAGCTGAACTGGGGCTGATGCTGGAGATCCCTTAGGGGAGCACTGGTTCCACTTAGCACCATCTGGGAACAGTGTCACTTTGTGCTTATAAATAATTTGCCACCCATTATCCCCTCCTTAACAAATGCCAAAACCTTCCCTCCTCCCCATGTTTCCATATTTATGAAAACAGCTTCCAAGTGCTATAACCCAGGCCCTCTGTCCCTGCTTGCAGCCCCACCAACATCATGGCATGACCATGCTCCAGACAGCCTCAGCTAAGTGAGAGCAGCATAAATCACTTCTGCCACTACCACGTGCTTTGCCTTGATATCAGCTTGCAGATCCAGACCTGGTGTTTGACTAGTAAATTTGCCTCCCAGGTGTTTAACGACTCCTTTGGATACTGTGGTTCTTACTAGACTGCTTGTGTGTCGACTGACTGCTTATTCTTGACTCCTGGCTACATGTATACATATATATTTTCGACTTAAGTCAATCAGGGCTATTTTCTGTGGCTTTGTTGGCAGTAATTACCTGGTTCTCCTGCTTTGCTGCATTGATCATCTGAGAGAGGGAAAAAGAAAAAGATTTTAGGGAAAAAAATACACAGCAAATACAAAACTGAATCAAGCTCAGTAATTTATAAGAAACTTCATCTAGAAGTGGCTATTGAAGGTAGTACCTAGCATGTCAACAAAACGAAGCAAAGCTCCCATCCACTCCTCCGAGCTACTACAACTATATGTAGACTACAACTATATAGACACTGGCGCCGAAGGAAAGGGGCATCACGATTAAAATGAAGGAGCTGCAGTGCCTGCAGTGCCTGATTTTAGCTGCTGATCTGATTTTTCTCGGGGGGCTCGGGGCTGTTTCCCTGCCTGGGAGGCAGGGCACATGGCAAGCAGAGCTGCCCTAGGGCACCGTGCACTTCCAAGGCTGCTTCCCAGGTTCCAGAACAAAACCAGTGCCTTTGCACCAGTCCAGTCACCATTGCCGGGAGCCACAGGGCCAGCCTGGGCTTTACCTTCATAGTTTTCTCCCATCACTGGCACCAAGCCACATTCTCCGCCTGTGTAGACAAAACCTCCGTCGACGCTGATGGCATCTGCTTCACCTTTCTGCAATGAAAACCACCCACTGATGAGACGATGCTCTGTTCACCCATAGCAGCTCTTCTCAGAAACTGGATCATAAAGGAAACCACCTGCTTGCAGATAAGGGTCCTTGGGTTTGAGATGGCCATTCCTTAGCATATGAACAGAAGATGCAAAAGGAAGGACCTAGGAAATTATCACTCCTGTGTGTTTGTAGCCACCATCATCAGAGCAGTTCTCCTCCCCAGGCACTCGTGGTATCACACTGTGTGCCTCTCCCAGCCTGTTTCATGACGAGAGCTTATCTGACCTCACCTTTGGAGTTTGCATTTTGGGCTATATAAATACCAAGGGGCTGACCCGATTACCACCAGCACTCTCAGATGCACTCTGGAACTATTCCTCCTCCAGAAGGGCCACGGTCCCTCTCTGACTGACAATACCCGTAGCCTCCAAGATAAGACCCTTTGCACTGCCAGCTGGATCAGCAGGCATTATATCAGAAAATTATTTTTATTTTGAAAGCATCAAAACAGAGAATTCTAACTCTATTTGTCCAAAATGTTAATAGTTGAGAAACTAATCCGAAAGCATCTTCCCGACGGCGAAGTTGGTTTCTACCTACAGGTGTTTCTAGCAATTCCCCTTTCCCCCACCATTTCATTTTAATATTCCCCATCAAATCTCTTTCCAGGATGAAAGAAGCAACACTGCTGCGAATGAAGGGGCTGTATGAAAGGGTCACAGGGAGACAAAAATGGATAAAAAAGCCTTACCATGATCTTAACAATGCAGTCCTTTGTGGTTTCCCCCACAGCACACTCCACCTCTCCGTTGCTCACCACACTCCAGCGGTCACACTTGATCTTCTCATCCTTACCCACTGCACACCACTGAATCTTGCTTTTCTTGGAGCTGGAAGACATCAGATCTGTAAAACAACAGCAGGGAAAGGAGGAATAAGCCTGATGCTCTGCTAAACAAGAAAGTTACCAACCAAGGTGCGGGACTCACTCCTCAACTGTCTGCATACACAAACCTACCACTGCCCAGCGCAAACGGATCTCGTTTACTTTCCGGACTACCCTGAGCAGAAGGTCTGTGTAAAGACGATTCACTAGCAAAAACCCAGAATCTTTAGCAGAATCTTAACCCAGAATCTTTAGCAGAATCTTAAGCTGAAAAATGCTCAAAAAACAACTCCGACCTACTGGTTGGAAAGGACTTCAGCGTGATCTTTTGCTCAGATTTGTGTCAGCCAAGACATCACCATCACTAAGCCCTGGTAGTACTTTGTATTGATAGTTATACTATATTCAGCTTTCCTATAGACCTCATAGCCCAGACAGCTATGCAACCTAAGAACAGTCTGGAAAAACACATTTCAGTTATGTTTCTGTGAAGCTGCATTTGAAGAATTTGCTTGGATTCCACATGAAGTCTATGTGTCTCCTTCCATGAACGCCGTAGCGGTTGAGTCTACCACAGAGATATCTGCCAAACTGAACCTTTTGAATATACAAAAAAGTGACAGTTTTATAGGATATTTGCTTCTTAGAGTGACAGCTAGGATATCAGTAAATATTTTATGAGTCTAGATGGAAATAAAGGACACTGCTTCTTTCAAATAGCAAGAACTATTTCCTGATGCCCTGTGATGTTCCTTCAGTCCTGTAGGCCTTTATCCCAGAAATGCCTTTTCTGAGCAGCAGTTCCGACTATATCAGTTTTGACCTTACTAACCACACAAGCAAGTACATTTCACAGGAAATACAGAATATTGAATACTGACTGCCAAGAATATTCAATGCTAACTACATTTGAGAAAATCGCGTTCTTTGCCCTTGGCATGTTAATTCTCCAAATATCTTCTGCAAACACTTCTTTGCCAACTGACCGCATCCAGGCAGTTTGTAAAGGGAAACAGGCAGCATCCCAAAGCTTTTTCAGGACCACTGGCTGTGGCCCATGTCCTGCCTACCTTTCCTGAGGTTCTGAGTGGCACTGTAGTACTCATAGCCTAGATAGAGCTGGGTATCCATCAGCGCTGGGATTTTCTTCAACGATATTGCAGAATCTTTAAAAAGCAAGTCTTTGTGGTAGGGGTCGGTCTTATCACGTGTCCCAAAGAGGTGAAAGTCACTGGTTGTGCCAATGCCAAATTTTTCCTGTCACAGGGGAAAAATAATCAGTAAATGATGACCCAAAATACTTCGAAAGCCAGAGAGACTGATCCAAACAGGGGACAGAATAGGGATTCTTAGAGTAAGAAAATGAAATCTCTGTGCTACCTGTGCTTTTGAGAGAAAAGCCCAGATTTCTTCAGCCTTGCCATCATCTCGAGCCACGACAGCATGACCAGGGACCCTGGCCCAGTGGCAGGTTTTATAGTTGTCCACGGGCTGCCGGGTGCCATCCAAACACAGCAGTTCATATTTATCCTTTTCGCCTGCAGCGTTTTCTAAAGAGAGGAAGCACAAGTTGCAATACCACAAAAACTCAATATCAGGCAGCTTTATAATTATTATTTTTTCCTGATGAAGCCTAGGGGAATGGCAAATTCTTCTCACTTGACAACTCCCACGCCTCCTTTGCAATGGTAGCGTGTGGATGCTAGGAGAGATGGATCATCATAGCCATACGATGGTAACGTAGACAGAATAATCTCAGCTAAGGACACAGCCAGCCCAAGCAACCTGTCCCACTGCTTGACTCATGGAAAAAAAATCTCTTTGTATGTGGTCTGAACCTCTCTTTTTTCAATTTATGACTGTTGTTTCTCATCTTCTCTTTGTAAAGATCTTGGCTCCCTCTTCTTGGAAGCCTTCTTGTAGGTACTGATAGGCTACTATGAAGCCCCCCACCAAGTCATCTCTTGTCCAAAATGATCAATCCCATCTCCCTCAGCCTCTTCATGCAGGGCAAGTGTTCCTGTTCCTTGACCATCTTGAAGGCCTCCACTGAACTCATTGAAGGTCTCCTGAGTGCCAGGAAGTGCTCTAAGTATACCCACCTTCCCTCTATGAAAGGTACCAAGCTAGTGCATAACTTCTGTAGGCCAAATTACCTCCAAACCTGTCTCCCAGAGGACTGGATGGGCCTGGGAAGAGTGGATAATCATCTATGCAATTGCTCACCCTGCCATTACAGTGAAAACGCTACAGCTGGCTCTGTAATATGGCACAAATTACATCGCTGAGCTTAAACCAAGCAGGTAACTGCCAGGTTTTCATTCTTCAAAGAAGGGCCATCTGAGTGACACCCACCACAGTCATATTATTCAAGAACAATGATGAGCTAGTTAACTAATGGATCTGGTGCTTCCAGAAATGAATGGAGAAGAGGTTTGGGGGAAATACGGAGGGGAATGAAGGTGGCCACAGTGCAGACTAAATTATAGGACGGAGTAGCAGCAAGAGGTTGGACTTGGAAGGAAAAACAAGAGTGATTGAACAAGCCTACCTTCAACAGTTGTGTGTTTCACAAAAGCTACTTCTCCGTTTCCGTCTTTCAGGCAACTGCAGGTGGGAGGAAGCAGAAGAGATGTTAAACAAAGCAGATATTGTGGTTCCCTATCTCCTGTTTCAGCAAGTTACTTCGGCACAGTCTCCAACCATAGAGCAGTCATCATCCCCCAGATCTATACTAGCAGGGGAGAAAATGCAAAGGCAGAGAAGTAGTTCATAAGACGCCCAGGTAGACTTAGCAAAATGCTATGTATTCTTAACAGTCCAAATGAAATCATACAACCCAGCTCCCGCGTTGATCTCACAACTGCCTACTGGAACTCCAAGCCTCCATTTATCACAAACTCAAAAAAAAAATTGAATCTTCCATTACCAAAAGTCCCAGTTCCTGTGTAAATTCAGTCTCATCAGGGCTAGGAGCATAGCACAGCAGTCCTCAGGATAACGAAAACTTGTATGTGTAAAGGCAAGCATATTTCCACAAAGAAAAACAACTTTCACTCACAGAAAAGCTCCAGAATATCCCGAATAAAGTGATGAGCGGCCACATTTGGTTTTCGAATCCCCCTTGCACTGACGGCACAGGTTTTTTTCGGTGGCACCAGGCACGCAGCTGGCCGAGAAAAATTTGGCCACCTCTGTGGAAGAGAAACACATGATAGTTACTTGAAAAATCAGTTTTGCAGGAAGCTGGGAGGGTCTGTGATGGGGAGGCATGCCTTAGGGGAAGGGTCTCAACTCCGTAATCAGGCTGACTCTTTTAATGATTTGATCTTCCCCCTCCTGTGGTATGTGGCCGAGTGGAGCATTACCTGCTTAACAAACTTAACCATGTGCAGTACAGTGAGTTCCTGTGCTTGGGGATATGATGAGATTCCTAAATGAAGGTGCTCCTGGTATATTTGGGATAGAGGAAGCAGAGGAGAAAGAGCAAGATAGGGAATGTCAATGCTCTGTGCATCTCCCCTGAATCTCTGCAGAAGATGAGGCAACATCACTCTCACCTCCCGACTACCACTGGTTTTAACCTCATCCTCTTTCTTTAACATCATCTCATGCTTTCCCATCTCACCTTGCTCGATGGAGCCAGAGTCTATGCCATCCCATGGGATGTCTCCTCGGCGAACAAGCGTCCCGATGGGAATAAGCCAGCCGGCGGACTTGCCCAAGCCTGTGTGGCAGGAAGTCTTGCCTTTCAAGTCGTTTATTGTGAAGCCTGTTCCTTTCTTCACGACAGCCACAGCGTAGTAGTAGGTTGTGGGTCCTGTAATACAAGAAGGAAGAAAGCCCTGAAAAGGCAGGAAT